TATGAAGAATGATGTCCGTCAAAACGTATGAAGAATGAATGAATATTGACTTTGGTTTAATTAAAACAGCAGCTTATAAATTATAACAACTAACTCAACCCCATTTTAAATAACTTTGGTTCTATTTTTTTCTTACAAAGTGCTTTCAAGGAAAATTGAACAAAAAAATTACTAAATGATCAGAAAATTATTGACCCAAAACATAAAACACTGACACGTATTGGATTGTTTTTAGATATTAGCTGCTACAAAACAAAGAATTCATGTGTTTTTGCTTTCATCTCTTATTAATGAGTGTTTTTTTTTTTAACCAGGTATGATCCAGGCTCTGGGTGGTTTCTTCACCTACTTTGTGATTTTGGCCGAGAACGGCTTCCGGCCAGAAACCCTGGTGGGCATCCGCATCAACTGGGACGACCGCGAGGTCAATGACGTGGAGGACAGTTACGGGCAGCAGTGGGTACGGAGCCGACACGCTGGAACAACAACACAGCCTATGAATATTTCCGTACTCATGCAAGAGTAAACGCAACGTGTGCTTCCACCCTGCAGACCTATGAACAGAGGAAGATCGTGGAGTTCACCTGCCACACGGCCTTCTTCAGCAGCATCGTGGTCGTCCAGTGGGCCGATCTGATCATCTGCAAGACCAGGAGGAACTCGCTCTTCCAGCAGGGCATGAAGTAAGTGAGTGGAGCGATAAGAAAGGAGGAGAACGATGAAGAGGGCTGAAAAATACTGGAGGAAAAAAACGTGTATGTTGTTTTTCTGTGATGTGAAAAAATTATTCTGAAAAAAAATTCAGTCAGTTCTGGACGAATTTGGATGATTTATTTGGACGTGCACAAAAAAATATTAAACATTTTGTAAGTGGCTGAAAAAAGCAGCTTAGAGCCATTTTCATATGATGTTCGATTCACAAGGGCATAAAAAAAAATTCTTCATCTGGCTTTGGATTTGTCCTGCAGACCTTTGTGGTGCTGATTTAAATGATTATCGTGGCAACAAATGCAAGAAACCACAGACAGAAGACCTGTTTTTGATCATTATCATTGTTTCTGTGGCCTAAATATTTCCAAACCACTGATGTTGGGTTAACAGGGGCTGTAGTTCCCCGACACAGCGGTCAACTCCTGCTCACGACAGTTTGCTAGGGGGCAGTTGGTAGCACTGTTGCCCCGCAGCAAGGTCGACGGTTCCCGTCCCAGTGGGGGCACTGGGATCTTTCTGCATGGAGTTTGCATGTTCTCCCCGTGCAGCGTGGGTTCTCTCCGGGTTCTCCGGCTTCCTCCCACACAGTCCAAAAACATGTTGAGGTTAATTGGTGATTCTAAATTGTCTGTAGGTGTGAATGTGAGTGTGCTTGGTTGTCTGTCTCTAAGTGTAGCCCTGTGATAGACTGGTTACCTGTCCAGGTGAACCTGCCTTCACCCTGAGTCAGCTGGGATAGACTCCAGCCCCCCCACGACCCCAGTGAGGATTAAGCGATGGATGGATGGATGGCTGAGTTTCTTTTTGCAACCAAGTCTTACTTTTTAGTATTTCGTTCCTGTTCTCACTCATTTCTCGGTGCACATGTGAAGTCTGCGTGTCAAGAGACTCTGTCAGTTTGGGAATAAAATAATAATAAGAACCCTTAAATCGGACTCAGTTCTGCTTTACCAGACTTGACGTATGGAAGTAGGGCTGCACAATATCGGGAAAAAATGAATTGTTCTTCTGCGATATGAAAAAATACACAAATTTCATCGAAGTGGCTTGAATTAGTAAGAAATGATCATTCTGGGAATTTGTGTGATTTTTGAGCATCTGCATTGAAAGTCAAACATATTGAGTAAAAAAGCAGAAAAAAGGTCATTTGTTACCTTTCTCATGTGGTGTAACACTGGCAAATGTTTTTTTTGCTTTGGACTGCGTTCAGATCTGGCTGTGCACTCGTCACACAGGGTTTGTGTTGCCCATCTGAACGGTCAAACAAATGGAGCAACTGCTAACAAAGCACCCGTCTTTCATCAACAGCGTCGTTTCCGTAGCTGAAATATTTCCAATCCACCGATGCTGCGTTTCTTTTTGCAACCAAATCTTATCTTTTTAGTTTCTCTTCTGTTCTTTGCTCATTTTTTGATGCACATGTGAAGCCTGCATGTCAACAACCTCAAGTAAATAAAAAACTCCTTCTCTTGTATGTTAGTGATCCCGTCAGTTTCCCGTCAACTAAAACAGTTACAGCCTAGTTTGTTTGAGTTCATTTGCACCTCACATGATTGCGCAGCTCCAAAGTAAAAAGCTTCTTCATCAGTTCCAGTCTCTTTTTTTAAATGTTCTTTTCATTGCTACCTTATTATTGTGAACCTCATTAACCCGTATAAACCTGTTCTTGACCCTGCCGTGCTCTTGTTTCCTGCCCAACAGGAACAGGATCCTGATCTTCGGCCTCTTCGTGGAGACTGCTCTGGCTGCCTTCCTCTCCTACTGCCCTGGGATGGACGTGGCCCTGCGCATGTACCCACTGAAGTAAGCTCTGTATATGCATATCTCCACTGAACCGAAAAATAACCTCTTAAAGACCTAATAGTCTGCCATTAGACTGTCACTCTCAGCTTCAAATGAAATCTGTGATCTTCTTAAACACCTCGTTGTTATCCTTAATATTCAAAAACGGCTCCAATGAATTTAACAATTTGCACTCTGCCTGACTCGCTCCGGCTCCATCCGTCTTCTTTCCGTCTTCCTCTCAGGATCCTGTGGTGGTTCTGCGCCTTCCCATACAGCCTTCTGATCTTCGTTTATGATGAGGTCCGTAAATTCATTCTGCGGCGGAGCCCAGGAGGTAAGAAGTTATTAAGACAAACCGAGATTAAAAGGGTTTCGGGCTTATTTGTCTTGTTAATAAGCCGGAATAAAAATTGTCAAACGATGCTACAGCGCAGCGTCTGACACCCGTATCTCAAGCAGCACATGAGCCATTTTCAGAATCGAGACCTTTTCTGTTCTGTGAAGAAAAACGAACTGCAAAAAAATAAACCCTGTAAAAGTGCAGACTGTCCACTCCTTTAAGGACACACTGATTGACAAAGTCACCACAGCTCTGCTCTGCTGATCTGACCTGAAGCTTCCCAGCAAGCGTTTGACAGGCAGAAGAAAAATCGAGTTGAATGTCACTCCAAACGAGCACCAAATGCTTTCTTTTTTTTTTTACTGAAAAAACAAAACCTTGAAGTGTTGTGAAGCGAGATCAAGAACAGGTACTAATTTTAAACAATGATGCTGGTTGCAATTAGAGGTGATTATTGTAAGCTTTAATTTCATTGTGATATCAGCGGCGCGGGTGTGAGAGCAGAGGCTTCGGTGGCAGCTGTCTTCTGCAAATCTTTCATTCTCGTGATACAATTTTTTTCTTTTTGCACACTTTAATGTTGTTATTTTCTCTCTTTTTTTTGTTGTGAAGCAGGAACTGTAATAATTTTCATTTAAAAGTTATTATTATTCCAAGCTTTAACCACAAAAGAGACTTACGGCCTCACCCTGAGCAATGCGGCTGAAAACTATCAGGCATCCAGCAGAGTGCCAGCGACTCAAAACTGAACAATTCTCCGGCTTTCAGAGCTGCAGCCGCTGCAACACTTGGCTGATTACTGTTTGTCTTCCAGGTCTGATTCCTGACAGAACAACATGTAAATGCACTGCTGTCTGGCAGTTTGCTGGAGAATTCCATTTAATAAATGGTGCATAAAATCACAGCTTATAAACACAAAAATATCCAATGGTGAAAATCAAACACGCACATCACGGACGGAGTCTAATTTGATCTGATACTTGGGCCAAAGGCTGCATCTGCACCAGATTTCAGTCAGCGGTTCTTTTTATTCAACAACATCTTGCTAATTAAGTAGACAGAAATAAAACGTCAGGACCTTCCTACAGTGTAGAAAAAGATCCCGAAAAAACTATGAAAGCCTGACTGCGAGAGTGCCAGAAAAAAAATATGTTAAAAACTGTGCAACACTGTGTGGTTTAAAAGCTTTATAAAAGCCACAAATAATGTTATTTTTAGCCAATTTAAATACAGTAAAAAAGTGTAGTTTCACAGCCACACACTGGAAAAAACAAATTACAATTTGTAAAAAATACAGTTTTTTATGTAGACATTGTGCACAGTTTGAAATGTAAATGCAAACTTTTTTTTCTGTCATTTTATTAGATATCTGGTATTTAACAAAACACAGGAAATCTAATGTAAAGTGTAAAAAAAAAACAAACAAACAAACAAACAAATTCTTATTTCCAGTCCTTAATATGCAGCATTTTTCTTGTGGCAAATATTTATAAAATAATTAGATTTTTTGCTGATTTCAATTTTAAAAAAGTGTAATTTTACTGTAAAATGTTGTCAAAGAACCAGCTACCGTTTGTAAAAATGCATGTTTTTTTTATTTCACAGTTTACTTTAAATGCTTTTTTCTCTCTCAGATTTGAACTCAGTGTGATTTTTTGTGATTTAACAAAACAGAAAATTTTGTCTTTCATAGTTTTTCTTTAAAATAACACCAATTATCTGTAAAATAAATAGATGTGTTTGCTGATTTGAATACAGTAGAAAAAGTGTAAATGTAAAATAATGATTAATTTTTTTATGCATTATTAATGACTATTTATCTGTTTGTTTGTTTTTTTTTAAAGTTTTTTTGCATTTAACATGTAAATTATCACTTTTTTATGTGATTTTACGAAATATTATCTTTTAGAAACTGGGGAAAATGTGTAAAATAACAGCAATTTTATAAAAGATTACAGTTTAAATGTCACAGTGTACTTAGCAAATAGATTCAGGGGGAAAAATCTGTTTGTACATTTAAATGGGTTCTTTTGGGTCTGAAAACCCAAATCTTTGGCACAGTGTAAAATAAAGGGAGCGTCACATCCTCCGCCAACAAGCGAACACACGTGAAACTTCTTTGCTTGTCCAGCCCCAATAAAAGTAGCAGCAAATGATTAACAAAGGAAATTAAAGCAGGCTGATAAGGACTTTTGAGATCATGCATGTGATATGGAAACTCTACAACGTCTTCAAATCTGCTCAGTGCCACAGCCGATGAAGGCCGAGACACGGAGAGACAAATACAATTTATCGTGACAGTTAATCATTTCTGTTAATCTGTGTGTCACGGGCTGCCGATCAGAGCCTTGGAGTTGTAAGAGGATTCATTTGGAAATGTACAGAGACAATGGCGACGAGATGAATACAAATAGAACGATACAAAAGGATATTATGAAAAGTGCTCGCCTGTCATTTCGGCGTCTGACACTTTCTCTCCCTCTCTTCATCTCTTCCAGGTTGGGTGGAGCTGGAGACGTATTATTAACATTCAGAAAATGTCGGTTGCGGGTCCGCGTGTGCGTACACACATGTGTGTGTTTGTTCGTCCTCGTGAGGGTGAGAGTGTGTGTGTGTGTGTGTGTGTGTGTCTGTCACTTGTAATATTGCATGGATCAGTTCACAAATCTGATTATCATAAAAAATACTGCTGAAAATAGGCTTTTGATTGTAGCTCCGAGTTTTTCTCTTTCTATCAGGAAACATTTCCAGCAGAACAATACTATCGTGCACCTTTGTGCCTTACACAAACTGTTACCAAAGTGATGCATTGTGGGCCTGTCGGGCTATAAAGGAATATCAAATGTTGTTCATCATGTGAAATTTACCAAATAAAATAAATTCCAAAGTGTCCTCGGGCGTCACTCTGATTATTATTCATTGACTGTGTTGTCAGCGTCATTCTTCACTGCTAATGTTGCTCGTCAGTCTTATCCTGGTGGAGATTAGAGCTGAAACTGGGAGAAGAGATGAAATCATTTGCCAGTTTCAATACGAAGGGTGTCACATACACCTATAAATATACTGTTTTCCAAGCAACATGTTGTTTACTACAAGTTTGTAATGCTAAACTTTACATTTTTAGGAATTTGCAGTCATGTTACTGCAGTTTTAAATCACTTTACTGGGTCCGAGTTGAAGCCAGAGCTGGCTTTGTGTTGTAATTGTTACACAGATTCAATGTTAATCACATCATACTGGAGTCACCACATGAGTCAACTAAAAAGTCAGATAAAATTACGGTATACAGATAGAAAAGATACACTGTAAAAAAAAAAAAAAAAAAAAAAAGATGTAATTTTACAGAAATTTTCCCGTAAATTTTGTAGATTTTTTTTCTGCCTTTTTAAAAATAAATATATTAAACCAAAGGGAATTCTTAGCACATCTATTACAGGAGGCAGGTGTGTTGGAGAGGAATGTACAGTTGTCCTCATATTATTCGTCCTCTTCCATTAAAGAAAAGGTTAAATTCACAATAGTCACTCAAATAACTAGAAACTGAAAAAAGTAATAATAAATAAAAATTTGTTCAATTATGATATTGTGAAATAAGACATTGCTTTTGAATTGTGGTTGAAAAGAGTGATAAAAAAAAAAAAACTAAATTATGCTATATACTATACTGCACAAGAAAAACATCTAAACAACACAATGTAACTCCAAGTCAGTCACACTTCTGTGAAACCAACCTGTCCAGGTAGGAAGCAGCACTGATGGTGAATCAATTTCACCTGCTGTTGTGCAAATGGAGCAGACAACATGTGTAAATGAGAGGCAGTTAGCAAGACAACCCCTATAAAGGAATGATTCTGCAGGTGGTGACCACAGATCATGTCTCTGTTCTCGTCCTTTCTGGTTGATGTTTGGTCACTTTTACATTTTGTCAGTGCTCTCAGCCCCAGAGGCAGCATGAGGTGGTGTCTACACAAACAAGCTGCTCAGGTAGAGCAGCTCATCCAGGATGGCACATCCATGTGAGATGTGGCAAGAAGGTTTGCTGTGTCCCTCAGCACAGTGTCCAGAGCCTGGAGGAGATACCAGGAGACGTGGAGGGGCCGTAGGAGGGCAACAACCCAGCAGCAGGACGCTACCTCCTCCTTTGTGCAGGAGGACCAGGAGGAGCTCTGCCAGAGCTGCAGGATGACCTCCAGCAGGCCACTAATATGCATGTTTCTGCTCAAACTGTCAGAAACAGACTCCATGAGGTGGTCTGAGGACCCCACGTCCACCAGTGGGGTTTGTGCTTACAGCTCAACACCATGCAGGGTTATTGGTATTTGCCAGAGAACACAGAGATTGACAGATTGGCCATTGGCGCCCTGAGCTCTTCACGGATGAGAGCAGGTTCACACTGAGCACATGTGACAGACGTGACAGAGTCTGGAGACACCGTGGAGAACGTTCTGCTGCCTGCAGCGTCCTCCAGCATGACCAGTTTGGTGGGTCAGTAATGGTGTGGGAAGGCATTTCTTTTGAGGGCCCACAGCCCTCCATGGGCTAGCCAGAGGTACCCTGACTGCCATCAGGTACCAGGATGAGATCCTCAGACCCACTGTGAGACCATATGCTGGTGCAGTGGGTCCTGGGTTCCTTCTAATGTATGACAATGCTCGGCCTCATGTGGCTGAAGTGTGTCAGCAGTTCCTGATGATGAAGGCATTGATGCTGTGGACCGGCCTGCCTGTTCCCCAGACCTGAATCCAACTGAGCACATCTGGGACATCATGTCTCGTTCCATCCACCAACTCCACGTTGCACCACAGACTGTCCAGGAGTTGATGATGCTTTAATCCAGGTTTGGGAGGAGATCCATCAGGAGAACATCCTGCCTCATCAGGAGCATGCCCAGGTGTTGTAGGGAGGTCCTACAGGCAGGTGGAGGCCACACACACTACTGAGCCTCATTCTGACTGGTCTGGAGGAATTTCCACTGAAGCTGGATCAGCCTGTGATGTGATTTTCTACTTTTATTTTGAGTATGATTCCAAATCCAGACCTCCACGGGATAATAATTTTGATTTACATTGGTCAATTTTGTATTATTTTGTTCTCAACACATTCCACTATGTAATGAATAAAGATTTTCAGCTGGAATATTTCATTCATTGAGATCTAGGATGTGTTATTTTCCCTTTTTTTGAGCAGATATACTATATTAGAATTACTAGAAAATGTTGAATTAATTTATTTTCATCAGTGTATCATATCTATAAGCATTAGTCGTCAGTGAAAATTCATCTCACGACACTGTTCATGTGTGACACATGTAAACAGCCTCCATTCATTTATAATTAAAAACAATGTGTGTATATATCAGATGGTTTGCATTGTTTCTAAACTGTCAGGTGTTCGGTTTCTCCTGGTGCTCACATTCTCCTGACCTCTTCTTTTACGATGTACGTCCTCATGTCTTCAATTCACCGGACTCTCATTACCTCACAGACAAATAAATAAATCAGTAAAAAAGGAGCTCTTCATGGATTCTGATTGTTCAAACATCTTTACATCAACGTCAAAACGGTTGTAAAAACTAATCAGGAACATGTTTTACCTCTAATAACGCCGGCACAAGCCTTGTCTACTTTGAAGGTTGCATGTTCTCTGCTTATACTTTACATTAATACAGGAACAGTCAGTTGGGAATGTGGTCTTTGGCTGCTGCTGGGCATCATTAACCTTGCTAGTTTTCTGTCTGTATTAGTGCGGATGCCGATTTCTGATTCCGTGCGTGCGGCTGTCTTGACTTCCAGCTCTATTAAATACCTGCTCTGTTCATTTAGTTCTCCTGACTGCGTGAGTTTCTCTCTGTTTCCTGTTTTGGTGTCACATCAGCCATTTTGTTTTCCTACTGGGTGTACGGGATGATAATCTTGGTGACCTGCCTTTGAGCGCGGCTGAACTTTCTCCCTCCCTGTGACTGATTTTCACCTTGTCTGCTGCGGGGCTGCTCCAGGGTTCTACGTCGGCTGATACAGTTTCAATAGAATCGTTTTGTTGGGATCCATTTAATTGCACGTTGCAGCGGATCTCTATTCAGTATTTTTGATCAAGATGTATAAACACAGTTCAAGCTGCAATCAACAGTTATTTGGATCGACAGTTGTTCCTCCTGTTTTTGTTCATGAACTGATCGATCACAATGTAAAGAAAGAAGTGTTTGTTGCAGCATCCCAAGAACTCTTTGGCCCAAAAAACTGAATCTGTTCAGTTTACCATCACATTAGACAAAGAAAAGCAACAAAATCCTCACAACTAAGGGGCTGAAATTAATCAACGTTTATTATTTTTGAAAAATTATGCAATTAATAGACGATGAAAATAGTACAAAACCGCAAAAAGGAAAAGAAAGAATAACACCCAATTTTACATTTTATCAATTAGTATTATTATTTTTATTTGCATGGTTTTGTATTGTTCCTTTATGTGTTTATTTATCTATTTATTTACATATTTATCTATAAGCAGAGAGAAAAGGGACTCAGGTTATTGATTGGCTCACCTGTACATACATAATATTTGCTTTGATTTGTTTAAGGGACATAACAAAAAAAATTAAATAGTTTTTTTTTAATTTCAAAAAATAACATGAAACCTCCCCAGTTCATTACCTATAATAAAACATAGATTTTTATTTTATTTTTTGTATTATATTTTTTATGAGGTTTTTTTTTTTTTAATGAAAATGATGTATTACATATTTAATAATGCCCTCATTCTTCCTTCCTGAACAGAAGTCTGAACATTTTTTGTTTAATTTTGTTGACATGTTGAAGGTTTTATTGAGGATTTAAAATAATCCCTTTTTATCTTTCAATAAATCACAAAATACTCATGTTTGTAGAATTAAAATGTTGTATAAATCCAGCTGATATGTCAACAAATCCCAGTTTAGTAAACCTGAGAATACAGAGAATATTGTGTCTACTACGGTGGAAATTTCTTACTCAGAGGAAACAGTTTGTTTAAGATACGCTTCGTGAAATTCAATTTATTGTCATTGGAAGTCAAGCCGCTGTTGGTTATACAGCACATTTAAAACAACAGCTGGTGAACCAAAGTGCTTTCCATTAGAGAAACAAGATTATAAATGTACCTAACAAGTTTAAATATTAAGGTTAAGATCCTGCAGTGTTATTTATTATGTGAATTTGCCTGATTAATTTTAAATATCAAGGTTATGACCTAGAATATTCTAGAAAATTCAAATTGGCCTGACGAAATTAAATATTAAGGTTAAGACCCCGCAGTATTATTAATTATGAAAATGTGCCTGACCTATATATATATATATATATACATGTTACGGCAAAGACTCTATAATATCATACAAAATACAAATTTAACTGAGTTAATGAAATATTAAGGTTGAGACCCTACAATATAATATATAATAGAAATTAACCTGACTAACTTAAATGTTGAGGTCAAGCACCTACAATATCAAACACTCTAACAAATTAGCTCATTTAAAATTAGGGTTCAGACTCTACAAACCTCTTTTCACAAACCAACAGATGTCACCATTAAACTTCATTACTAACACTAAGAAAGTACACCTACAGTTTTGTGAAATGTTAAGTTTAAATATGCAAACTATGTATTACTCCAATGCGCTGCTTTGCGCAAATATCCACGAGACAAAGTTCAGCGAAGCAGGAGCTTCACATGTAGAAATATAGAAGTGTGCACGAACACAATGCAGCTCTTGCACATTGTACACTGTATTTTAGTTAAAATTCTCTTTACTCGTAATTTACGACTTCAAGTTTCGGGACTGTTTTGTGTCTTGTCCTGTTGTTATTTCACAGCATTGTGGAACAGTCACTTAGCATTTCACTGCCCTCACTGTA